CATCGCTGAAGCTGGAGAGCTGGACCATCGCCGGAGCTGCTGGACCATCGCTGGACACAAGGAACACGATCGCTGCACTGTACTACTGCTGCTTCCTCACCGACACTGGGAACAGGTAAGTCTCTTCTTCTTCTCCTCTCTTCTATTTCTATTTTCTTCTTCTTTCTTCTTCTCTCTGCTACTCCTTCCTCACCGATTCTGCTTTTCTCTTCTTTCTGTTTTTTTTTTTTCTGATTTGAACTGGCAAGTCTCTTCTTCTTCTCCTCTCTTCTATTTCTGTTTTTTTCTTCTTTCTTCTTCTCTCTGCTACTTCTTTCTCACCGATTCTGCTTTTCTCTTCTTTTTTTTTTTTTTGATTCATATCCGATTAGTAGTCTCTTTTATTTTTTAAGCACTGATGACTTTTTTTTTATGATCACTGGTCTATTTTTTTTTTTTTCTATCAATCGCTGGTCTGTTTTTTTTTTTTTCTGATAAGCAATGGTTCGAACAAAACACATTCTTTTTTTTCTTATTGATATTGATGGAATTAAATGTTTAAAAGAATTATACAAACAGATGAAAACAATGAGCTTTAATGCATTTGATATATGTGAATTTTTTTTTTTTGCTGGTTGATACATGTGAAATATGAAATTATTTACAATTTTTATGAAATGTTATTTAGTATATGTGAATGTGCCCTTGTTATAGTTTTACTTGCATTTAAATATTTAGTATATATAAAATTAGAACTTAGATTGTTCAGAAATAATTAAACTAAAAAAAAAAATTTTTTTAACTGTTCGCTTCGCTTCGTTAAAGCGTGTCGCTTCGCTTCTCGCTTCTTGCTTAGGCGTTAGGAGCCTTGATCGCTTCGGTTCGCTTTACGCCTTAAATAACACTTATATAATCTACATTGAAAGTTTTTCCATAGAAAACCACTATAGTCATTTCCCAACTAATGCTACGTTTCTCATTTGCCTATAGATTCCTAATCGCAAGACCCCTTTTTACTCTCGATTTTGACACCACCTCCCAGTTGACTAAGTGATCCTTCTTACCCTCGTAACTCCGTGCACACATAAATCATCTTTTCAATCCGCATTGCTACTTTTCCTAGCAACTTGCAAAGATCAAGAATAAATGGGAATGCTAACCAATATAGATTGAATTAATGTTAGTCACCACCCCCCCCCCCCAAAAACAAAAAAAAAACCACCAAATTGATATGTAAGCCCTCTTCCACATCCAATCCCTTCCCACTTTCTCAATAACTGGGTCTACCTCCCAAAGGTAGACCCCAATACATCCAAGGCCAGGACAATTATCGATCTAATGAACTACTTCTCTTTGTACTGGAAATTAAGAAAATGTCCATGTATCCTGTTGCTGGAGACTTAAAGTTTCTGCTCATAAGCATATGCACATCAATGGTAGTAACATAATCCAAAAGCAAAAGAAAAAAAGAATGAAATGAGTTGCTTTATCTTTTTCTTTTTTCTGAGGGTAGGTAATGAGTTGCTTTATCAATAAAAAAAGTTAACGTACAATTTGGGTGTCTTCCCTGGTCATCACTCCCAAAACTTCATGAGTAGTAGTATTTGTCTTCCGAGAAACAGCAGCAACCTTTGTCCCAACCTATGACAATAATGAAATTAAAAACACAAAACATATTTGCACACTGGAATTAGAGATAGGGGGATCAAAATTGCTGCCACAACGGATAAACAAATATTTTAATTATGCATATTTATGTACGTCAATGCCTACCACTAGACTAATTCAGGCGTTTGCAAACATGATATAGAATATAATGTTTGCTATCAAGTATTAAGAAGTATTCCACTGAAATAAGTCAAGTCATATAGCAAATGCACTATAATGTTATTGTAGTTGCTTGCGCATTATGTATCACTCTTTTTTAAATTCTGCAAAAGATTTCTGATTTCTCTGTCCACATTGGCCATATAAAGAGAAGAGAACGCCTTTTAATGTAACTCAAACTTAAAGCTCCATACGTACCATTCTTTTGTTTTTTGTTTTTTTTTTTTTTTGATAAGAAACAAACACTTTTATTAATAAATAAAATAAAATAAAATATGGGATACAAAAACAGTTGGATAAGGAATCCAACTACGAAAATGAAAGAAAAAATGTAACAGTAAGCCTATAAATCAAACGAGGCTCTCCATACCACTAAAAAGTGAAATATCTTTGTACTCTTTGGTCACCGAAGCCCAAAAAGATACTAAAAATGAATATGTTCCCATAATCCATTCATACACTCACTCCAATCTTCAAAAATTCTTGTGTTTCATTCCTAATCTAAAACGTAGCACAATTCCAAAATGTAACACCTTTATCAAACCTTCCAAAACCTTTCACATCTTCAACAAACAATTAATATGATATAAACTCAACCCTTCCACTCGGAACAAAAGATGTCATAATGTTAAAGCAACCGGACAATGTAAAAATAAATTATCAATACTCTCAACATCACCTTTACACACCACTGGGGTGAAGGACAAGTATGAGGCCTCCTTTTCTAAGCATATCGTTAGAGTTAATCTTACCATGCGCTGCCATCCATGCAAAGACTTATACTTTAATGGGCACTTTAGTAGTCCAAATCAGCAATGCAGGGGTAAAGAAAGGATAAGAATTTTCATCCAACAGAGAATCAAAAAAAGATCTACATGAGAAAACTCCCAAAGACTCACCTAACCATCTTCTTATATCACTAGACTCTTGATTAACAATGACATTATTAAGAATATCAAGAACAAACATCAAATCAACAGTGTCTCTGCCATCAAGATTCCAACAAAAACCAAAGTCCCAAGAGTACGGATAATGGTATGACCTAATCATAGGTGCAATGGAAGACCCATGAGAAGAAGACAATTAATAGAGACAAAGATACAAACATGAAAGTGAAGACTCTCCTAACCAAACATCCTCACAAAAGCAAACTCTCTCCCCATTACCCATTGTTTCCCTTACATTTTGGGAAAACCTCGTCATCCCCGAGAAATGAATTTCCATAGGCAACAAAAACCTACCCCTCTCTACCCTATTAGCATCTCATCCATTGGCCCGTAACCCATATTTGCTCTTGATAACTAAATGACATAGAGAATTTAATTCCAACGAAAATCTCCAAAACTACTGATCCACTAAAGCAATATTTCTTGACCTCGCATTACCAATTGACAAACCACCACCATCCCTAGATCTAGAAACTACCCCCAAACTAATCAAGTGATCTTTCCTCCCCTCCCTACTAATCTCCCACAAAAAATCTCTCATCAATTTTTTAAATGTCATAACTATTTTCCTCGGGATTTTAAATAAAGATAAAAAAAAAAGTATGTGAGAATACTAGATAGAACTGACTGAACAAGAGTTAACCTTCCCCCTTTGGATATGTAAGCCTTTTTCCCCCATCAAGTCTTTTCCCCACTTTTCAACTACCAGATCCCAAAATAAAAATGACAATAGATTCCCACCCAACAGTAACCCTAAATACTTTAAAGGTCACTCTCCCACCTTGTATCCCAAAAGTCCTGTCATTCTATTCCTCTTATCATGATTTGAATTAAAGCCCACTAGGACACTTTTATCCATATTCACCTACAACCCCGAGACCAATCCAAATACCTCAACAATATTCTTAAAGTTTAAAAGTTTGTCCTCTTCTGCCACGGAAAAAATATGGAATCATCAGCAAACTGTAAATGAGAGACTGAAATTCTATACCTTCCCACAATGAAGCCTTCCGCAACATTACAACACTTAGCCTTCCTCACTAATCTACTCAGCCCATCTGCAACTAAAGTAAAGAGATAAAGGATCATTCAGTCTCAATTCTCTAGAAGCCTTAAATCTAACCCTAGGCTTCTCATTCATCATAACCAAAAAATTCATGGAGTGCAAGCAACCAAGGATCCATTTTATCCACCTCCCACCATATCCTTTCACTTCCATAATATAATCGAAAAAACTCCAATCCACGTGATTATATACCTCCTCAAAAAAAACAAAACCCTCCTTATCTCTCTCTATATTCCTCTACAAGCTCATTTGCCACAAGAGCCACATCAAGGATTTGTCTATCCTAAATAAAAGCCCTTAACACTCAGAAATAGTATCATTGAAAGACTCTCTTAATCTTAAGGATAAGACTTTAGGAATGACTTTGTAAAGGCAAGACACCAAACTTATGGGCAAGTCCTTAATCTTCATGGACTTTACTTTCTTTGGCTAGACACCAAACTTACCCTTCTTTTTGTCCTCTTGATAAGGAGAAAAGGATTCTTAAGAAAGATAGAAAGGAACACCTTCTTTTTGTGTTTGGTAAGAAGGAAGGAAAAGTGGAAGGGCTTGGTTTTCCATACTCAATGGAAAGTAAAATTCTTTCTCTCTGATTTAGAATAGATAGAAAATTGGATGGATAAATTTTTCCTTGTTTGGTATCAAAGGAAAAAAGAAGGAAAAGAATAAGATATATTTTCAAGTTACCATTTTACCCACAAAATAGACATCACATAGAATTAATCAAACAATGAAGATATGTACTGTTCATCATACTTAGTGGCAGACAAGAGGCCCACCTTTGAGCGCAATAGGATTTTCATCTATTCCAATGTTGTCCAAATCCCATTAACCAAACACGTGTTCTTCTCCTAAAGGTTGAAAATGTGGTTGATTGCTTTGATTAAACAAGCTTCACAACAATCTATCACACCCGATTGCCGCTTCCACCCACTCTTGCTCATTTGGCTTTGCTGTCTGAAGGGTAAAATAGTAAAACTGTATTTTTGTTCTTGGCAACTCTTTCTCTCTCTCCATTGGCTGCCCAAAACTGGACCAGAAAATTTTGGCGGTGGAGCTGAAAGGTTTTCCACCCCATTTTCCTCTCCCTCCTATTTTCGTTTCAAACCAAATAATGGAAAATCATTCTTTACATTCCATTTTCCTTCTCATCTTTTCCATCCATCCTATTTTCCCTCATATCAAACAGCCCTCAGAAGGAATCCTACAGCATGTATGCCATATCCAAAAAGAGATAGCCCATCACTAGCATTCCACTCTGTATTACCCATGCAGTCAAACCCCTGACAAAATACACAAAATATAGGACAACTACTTTTTCTCACTCTCTCTAAACAAATATCAGACAAAAAAAATTCAGCCAGCTGATTAATTTTTTGTCTACAATAAAAATCAAGTCCATGATTCCCCACAAACCCCAAAAAACTCTAAATAAGAAGGAAGATGTAATATGAATGAAACAATGCATAAATTGGTTGACGTCAACCAGCTCAATTCCAACTTTATAGAGCAAGCACAAACGCCCTATGAAATCCTCCACTGCATCTAGAGTAAGGTCCACCACACAAATATCCTCCTGTTTTTTCCCCTCCAACAAGATCACCGAAAACGCGAGAATAACCCAAAACATACCAAAGCAATGGGTAAAATTAGAGTGGCGCAACTCCACTCCTAAAGAAGCCTCAGGAATCTCACTGAGTTCTACAAGCAAGGAAAACAAGATATTCTCCTAACATGCTTCTCAAACAAAACAAAAAATCCTGCTTTTTAACATGCTTCTCAAACAAACAAAAAAAACTTTAGTATGTCGCTTTTTTGTCATCTACATCCACCTCTTCCACACAAGTTCAAAGATATTCTCCTAGGTGTGGTGATTTAAGAGAATGCAGCTCTGCCATTGAATTTACCAGAACTGTCATTCGTCGTGATGTATTTTGAGTCCACATTATTATGAGGCAACCATTCATGTCTGATTTATATTACAAATGTCTTGACCTTCTACTACCTCCATCACTCATTTCATTTATCACCACCGCATTTGCTGATAGCACTGCCTTCCAGATTTGGTTCTGCCTCCATGTTTACAACTATAAGTACAACACACGAAAATGACTTAATTTGTTATTCAATCTTTTTAAGGCCATCTTTGTTACTTGCTGCATGAATAAACAAGGTGAGGTGCTAGAAACTTAATTTGGAGTGTCACAGCACTACACTGAATTTAAACCAGACTGATCTTGAGAAAGGATGGTTGTAAATATTAGGTAGTCAAAAGAATCCCTCTATTGCACATGAGATAACAATTATCAACACCTGGTTCATACAGATTAAGTCATCAACCATGAGAATCTCATGTATCACTATCCAAGCAAAGAAATCTGCTTTCAGTTCTTTGAAGGATCTTAAAAATATTGCTCAAAGAAGCAATAGATGCCTCCAGAAAACCTATAAAAGAATCTGATTAAAACTAACGATGAGCTCCTTTTGCCTTATTTGCTTGATCTGGAAAAAAAAAACTCTAATGCAAAGATCTAACCCTACTTGCATGTAACTTCCAACCAAAATGTACGAAGGTTCACTCCATGCTACTATAAAGGCTGACAAATAGTAGCCCACATACTTTCTCATATAGGCAAGGAAACAAAATAAGTATTTGGTAGTCCAGACCTCCAACCAAAAACCCATCATCAAACTGTAACCTGTCACCAATCATCAACTTGTTACATATCAAAAAGCCAATTACTCTACCAAGATTTCCTCCACCTATAAATTTCTACAAATTCCAAAGTTTCTAGACTTACATGATTTGCCTACATCTCCAAATAAAAAACAATAAAATGCAATTTATATAAAATGATAGAGAATGAATGGAGAGACGAAAAATATATATAAAAGGGAGGAGATCCCCTAAAGCCAGAACTCCACAACATAACAATAAACAAATTCGCACCAAATCACTACTCAGCAAACCTCCAGTGTAGTAAGCCAATTTCTTTATTAGAGAAGGAGGCCAATCTCAAAATGCTCAACTTCCGTAGACTGGATTTAGACAAGGATTCGAGACTAAAAGAATAGTCCAGCAATTATTAACACCTTACTCCATAAGTTCTCAATATAATTCCCAACCTCAAAAACCATCTGGCACCAAAGCTTTCTTAAATTAGACAAATAGAGTGACTGAATCCTCTGCTTCTACATCTGCACAGCCATTTTCCTGCTACACTCTCTGAAGTGTCTTGATCTACTCCAACCTTCAGACCAGTAATGGCATAATGGCATGCAAAAGATAAATGACCAGACAAACAATCAGGAATGAGGCAATCTCTTATCCATTGTGAAGCTAACCGCAATAAATAAATCATTAGAAAGCAGCAAATGGAATGCAACCCACACATTGTAAACAGAAAAAACATGCAAGAAATATTGACAGCAATGCTCCCAAATAAATTCCCTAAAAAGATCAACAGAAGGATGTATCATTAAAGAATTTAAAGGGCTTGGAATCGTGATTAGAACTCAGGATACGGATGTCTAACGAGATAATCTTATAGCCACTGAACGCATATTTCTAATCAACGGATTACACAACAATTTCTCTTTTCTCAGATTCTCCTAAAATAATACCTAAAAAAATACCTTTTCAAAAGCTAAGCCTATGCCAATACAGCTCGTAATTGAACAAGGACCAAGATACCCACATAAGAATGTTCACAACACAAATTACTGCAGTACAACTTGACATCAACTCAGTAAAAATCAAAACATAATTCCACAAAACCTAGGGATGCCCAAGACTAAGTGGTCATGTCTCCACATTATACTCAGCAATTTCTAACTATGCACACCCAACAAATCACCCATGGGCTATCCTCAGACAAACTGCTTTATAATCATCTTTCACAGATACTACTTGAGCTCAATCCAAGCCATTCTAGGAGACCTTCTATTTAACAGCTAGGGCAGCTCATTGCTTACTGATATGATGTGGAACCATAAGTGACTCTAAATCACAAGCTAAGCCAGGATATCAGCTCGCATCTCTACTATCTTGCCTTCAAACAAAATTATATGGTAACTCAAAATTATTTAAAAAGAGGGCAACCACAGGAATATGCTTCATAATGGTTATAGGCTTGCATGATACAGTCATGTAAACCTATAAGAAGAACAGAAACTAAGCTAAACTCAAGAAATTCTAGTCTCAAATATTAAGCATTGGCTACATAAATCATGTTTAACCATGGTGCTCTAATAAGAGCCATATTTTCTGTTAGAGCACATATAAAACACATAAACATGAAACAACAAAGCACTAATAAAGGCTTGCTGATTCCATCAAAATGAAAAAGAAACCTAAAGAAGGAACCAAAAATACAAGAAAACAAGACACAACTGAACAAAATTTAGGGATCTGCAAAAAGAGTATGCGGCCCAATACACTAAGAGCTTGTTTGGTAGTCGTATTATAAATGGATTAAATATTGTATTGTACTATTAGTTATTTAATGGGGTCTAATACTTTGTTTGATAGATAACTATAATTCCGCATTAATTTGAAAAACATATACTAATCATATATTTTTAGTATCATAGACTTGTATTATGGAAGTATTTTAATATAACCAAGAGAAGTGGTATTATAATCCAAATCAAATTTATAACCACACAATTGATAAAATCAAGTTATCATCAATATAACAAATACTTCGACACACTGATTGAGGGTATTTTTGTTAATTCAACATTAATATGATAAAATAATTCTCTAATCAAACAACCAACCGAATTAAATACCTATTATCCAACACTTATGTTGTGTATTGTCAAATACTAAATAAAATTACGTATTATTCTAATATTTTATTTAATCTTATATTTTGTCAAACTATATTATATTAGACTGGATTATTTTATTGAATCCATTCATTTGTAATGCAACAACCAAACGAACCCTAAGTGAAAATGTCTAAAATTGGCCTTCGTGGATCTAATCAATAGGTGATAGGAGAAACGCAAAACTACCTAGATGTACAATAGTCTATGCATAATTAGTCCCATAACAACCATTTGTTCTAAATCACACATCATCAACTTGTCATGAGTAATAAAAAGGGGCTCGTGGCAGCATTATAAACACATTCTATCACTCAAATGCATTTTACTTATTGCTTTCCTGAAACATTATATTTCCCTGCAAAATTTTATGTGTGCCTTTTCATTTTATTTTAAAAAAACTAGAACATGTGTTCTTACATGGAATGAATTAATAAAAATTCCATAAAGTTAATATTTGCGAGTCACAGGCCCAAAATAAGATTTGACAACATATTAAACAATTGAAATCGCCGCAAACACAGTTATAATTGCCAACAGCATGTAACCATAAAATTGGAGAACAACAAACTTATCCAGTTGACCGGACCACTAATCATCCACGTTATTCAACAAGTTTCTTAGAAACAAAGCTTTATCTGTAATCAAACGTTAAACTCCCAGAAATAAGACGTCTAAATCCCAAAAATAAGTCACAGATTTCTGGAAAACATCCACATACAATTTCACTCGAACACTTGTTATATTCAAATAAATCTATCCATTAACTAACCATGTAATTGGTCAGAGCAGACTTTCCAGCATTAGGAGCACCAATAATCCCAACTGACAACGACTTCTGGTCCTCCTCCGTCACCACCAGGCTCTCCCCTACTCCCTCATCCTCATCTGGCTGCTCCAATGCTGCCTTGAGCAAAGCCTTCGCAAGCACCGATCCCTTCTTCTCTTCTCCTCTTCTCTCTCCACAACTCTCAAACGCTTTTCCTGTTTCTTCCTTTCAATTATTGAACTTACCCCCAGCTGGGTCCTTTCTCCAAAAATTCTTCTGTTAGCTTTTTCCCTAAAATTCACATCCCACGTGGGTTGTATAGTACTTTCAGCCTCAGAATCGAAACTCAATTTCTCAGGTAACGTGTAATGAGCACCGTCAAAGACTGAGTCAGCACTACTTTCATCTTCAGAGGTGAGTGTATGGTGGTAGGTGTCTTGTTCTTGAGGCTGGGCAGTGTAGAATCGATAGAAGAGGATTGGATTGAGATGGGCCTTTTCGGGTTTTGAAGAAAGAGTGGAAGTGAGTGTTCTTAGGGCTCTCAAAGCTTTCATTTCCACTTGTCTTTAACTACTTTCAATGAATTATAGACTGTTAAAGCAAATATGAATACGTGCATACATTATTTCAGACAGACGGACATACCAGAGACTCACAGAGAGACGAGAGAGCCTGCGCCAGGGGTGGAGATGGGGGTGGGTGTGGGCGAGATTGAGTACGGTGAGGTTTTGTATTAACTACAGATTGAAGAAGTGAGATGTTAAGAAGGGTTTTGTGGCTTTTGAGTCTTGGATCAGAATGGGACATGAGGGTCATTTTTAAACTCGCTGATTTTGTAGGGCAAATCACAGCTTCTACCCTAAAAAGATAGCAATTTATATCCTCAAAATTTAAAAATATCAATTTATAATCCGAAAGATATAAATTTGTATGAAAGTTCATTTGATTAATTGTCGTTTATTTTGCAGGTAACAAAGTTTAAACTAATTATAAATTATACCCTCAAAGTTTAAATATTTCACATTTATAATCCAAAAAGAATTTCATCTATTAATGTTCGTATCATAACATATTCATATCATGTTCGAGTCAATAAAAAAATATTTTTAAAATTTAAAAAAATTATAAAATACCTATTTTTTACCTATAATACTTGTTAAAATAGTTATTTTATGTGTATAGTTAGATATAAATCTTTTAATTGTCTGATCAAATTAAAGTTAGATATGAATAACTATAGACAGAAAATAGTTATTTAATAAGTATTGTAGACAAAAAATAGGAATTTTATAATTTTTTTAAAAATATTAAATAGTATTATATGAATTGTCGTAAATATTATGACACGATGCAATTGATATCTATTTAACGAACATAAATAGATGAAATTTTTTTTGGATCATAAATATGAAATATTTAAATTTTGAGGGGTGCAATTTATAATTAGCCCAAATTTTATGGCAAAATGGACAACAATTAACCTAGGTGTACATTGATACGAATTCATATTTTGGAGAGTATAAGTTTATATTTTTAAACTTTGAGAGTAAATTAAGAATCGAGTAATCTTTCGGTGTACAAGTTATGATTAGCCCGATGTTGTAAAGATGCGAAGGGTAATTTGTCCTAAAAGATAAAAAAATTCTCAATTTGCCTTCTGAATGATTAAATTTCTCACATTGCCCCTAAGAAATAAAAATATTATAATGTGATCTACTGCCTTGTTCGTCTGTTTGGTTTTGTGATCACATGTGAAACACGTGATAAGACCAAGGGCTTTATTGTAAAACACATGTCTTTGTCTCCCATGTTTTGTGCATAAAAACCCTAGTTTGAATATGATTTGGGCAAGAAGAAGTGATCCAAAATCTAGGAGGAGTGAGAGAAATGCAATCCATGCAGAACTATGGTAGAAGGCCCAAAACGAAGACATCCGGGATAGATTTGAACCCTGGAAGGAGATTTATCACATGTGCAAATAACGAATTAAGTTGTTCCATTCTTCTTCTTTAGCTCATTTGTACCCATATTGTTTAGTAAGATATTGGTTTTCAAGCAATTGATTATTATAACTTGTATTTGATAAATTAACGAGTTTTTTTACAATTAGGGTTTTTTTATTTTTTGAAAATTATGTTTTCTAGACATTGAACTGGTTATTTTGCCATTTTTAGTGGGTTGAAAATTTTGTTTTAATTGGTTTTGTAAATTTTTTCTTAAAGTTACAACTAAGTGTGGTTACTTTTTATGGATCGACCCCCCAATGTGTAGCCGATCACACCAAATAATATTGGATTTGTTGCATCGTGTTACCCATGTAGAAAAACAGTTGAAGCAATCTAGAGTAAGGGCGAAGATGCTTTGATGATGCATTATTGGTTCTTGGTTTCTCGTTATAATCATTTGTGTATCCATGAATCAACTTGATGAATATGGCTTAGTTGGGAAGGTTCCAAATGGAGAGATTTTTTCCATTGCAACTATTAGCATGATAATGATAGAGAAATCATGGTCCTTAATTATTTCCATCCATCTCCTTTGCATCAAAATGAATTCCTTTTGAGTAAATAAATATTTAAATTTTTGATAATTAGTAAAAATCCCATATGTCTCATCGTCTAAATAATGTTTTTATTACTTTAAAACAAACACAACATTAGCTAACTTAAAATCATGAGTAATATAATTCGTTTTAGAGATTTTTAATAGTTGAAGGAATTAACAATCATCCTACTATGTAGCCCAACATCTAATGAGAAACATCATTGTATAACACATATTCACCATTACTCAAGTGTATAGTCAACACTGGGGCTAAAATTTAATTATTTCTTTCACATTTGAAAACTATTTTTAGAAACATCATCCCATTCAAACTTTGTAAATTTCTTGTGTCAAATATGTCAAAGGTACTATTAATACTAAAAATTCTTATACAAACCTACAATAGTAGTCAACTAATTCCAATAAATCTATAAATCTCTATCACTGTATTTGGTCTTTCCCATTATACAATTGTCTCAACTTTCTTATGACTAAAAAAAATATCATCACCAGAAACTATATGTCCCAACAATATAACTTGATCTAGTCAATATTCACATCTACTCACCTTAGCAGGTAAATTTCTTTTTCTCATAGAGTCTATTGCACAATCCTCAAATGATTTTTAAAATCTTCCATACTACGAGAATACACAAGAATAAAATCAATGAATATAGTAACAAATAAATCTTGATAAGGTTAAAATACGTGATTTAGTCAATACATAAAAATAACTATAACATTTTTCACCCTCAACAACATCACCAAAAATACTAAGTGACCATCCCAGTTTGACAAATTATTTTTAGAACATCATCACTTCTTTGTTTTAACTAAGGATTGACCAACACTACTACATACTTTGAGTCCTCACAATTGATCAAATAAATCATTAATACAACGTAAAATATATTTACTGCTTGTTGCTACCTTATTCAACTGTCAGTAACTAATGTACCATTTCTCAATCTCATCATTTTCTTTACGAACACAACAAGAGCACCCCATGACAATTTACTACATTGAACAAACCATCGGTCTCATATTTTCAATTAAATTCTAAATTCCCCTATTTCAGCAAAAACTACACGATACAGAATAATACATGTAGGTGAAGTACTCCAGAACTACTAAAACATAAAATCTACCTCTCTTTGATGGTAGTTTAGGTAACTCTTATTGGAATACATCTAAAAATACCAAAACTATAGAAATATATTACAGTTGTATCTTTTCTTCTTTATTGTCCATTACAAAAGCTAGGTACCCTAGCTTACTTTTGCCAGAGTACACTAAGCATTTGAAATTCCATTTTCGATCACCAAAAATTTGTATACTCTTTCATTTGGTAGCTGAAATATCATCTCATTTCTAAACAATCTATAATAGCATGATGTTTCAACAATCTGTTCATCTCCAGAATCATATCAACGTCTAAAATATCCAGAGATATAAAATCAACATATAAATCTCCAATTCCCACATTCAATACACAACCTCTATAAATAGTCTTTGCTAGAAATATCTCTCCTACTAGAGTAGCAACAAATAAATTAGTATACAACAATGTCAACGATCAGTCCAAATGTATGCTATACAACGACTATGTGAATTTTGGATATATCAAAACCCATGCATTCTCGTCTAGAATTGGAGAGTGTACTCATGACAACTTCAACAGTAGCTTGAGTATCTTATCAAGTCATAGCAAATACACTGCATCTAATAGTACCAAAATTAAGGTTATCGAAAAAAATACCAACATCAGTCTTTGCAGTATCCACTAAACATGTAAATAAATTAAGATATATATCAACACAAAGGAGCTATATTCTTATGTTATAATATTTCAAACACGCAAAACCTTAATCTGACTGAGGAAAATTATGTATTAAATGATACATTGCCCCTATACCAATTACTTGCACGATGTCAAACTTCGTTCTACTTCAAATCATCTACTATCAAGACTAAAAATTTTCACTATTATGTGCCACTCAAAATATCTTGTTCAATCAGTCTAGTGGTACTTTCAATTATTCTTTTTCATCACCTTTAACTGCTCATGTGCAAATAAAATCCACTATATATATTCTATTGTCTACTTGACCCTATGTCACAGCAAAACTAGATGGATCAAGTTATATCCCTTTGACAACATAGGGTAGTTTTTATTATACTATATCAGTAAGAATGTGTCAATATATAAAATAATATAATGATGCATGAACACACCTTACAATCACTAGACATTTTGAAACATGACTAACGGCTAATACACTACTCCCACAAACTTGACAACATACTTCTTACTATTCATTATAGACACTAGACCACAACATGTCTACATAATTTATAAACACTAGCTCTGATGCTAAAAAATGTCACGCCCCATCTTGAGAGACATATTTGGTATCCCAAAGATGAAAATGTAACTTGAAAACGTGGCAATATATGTGCTTGTAATTCAGGAATGCATTTAAACCAATAATACCAACTAATAATCTCATGAAAGAGATAAACTATATAACTCTATGGTAGAGTGTACAACTGTTCAAGTTTAATCAAAACAAACATTAGGAAACTAGGAAATGAATATCTTTGTACAAAATTTACACAATTAGTTTTTTTAACTTTCCATCTCGACTCTGTTAGTGCTGTAGTGGACCCAACTCTAAACTTCAATTTGCTGAAAATAAATATTTTCTTGAGTGTAATGCACATCATAACAAATGGAAATATTAAAAATATGGATCAAATATAATTTCACCAAAATATGTTCACAATCTGAGGAGAACGATAAAATCAAAGTGTTTTCAACTTACTTTGAAAGCTCATAATCATTGTCAATGTGGCAACATAATAAGTAGTCCACATGTATTATCAGTCAACAACAACATTTAAACAATATTAGGCTATCAACAACATTTAAGCAATGTCAAGCTATTGACAATATTTAAGCAATGTTGAACTATCTCACAACAATTGCGCAGTGTCCAAATCAACCATA